ATGCATTATTGCATGTAATTTGAAAGAAAAAAAAAACAAACAGACCCACAAAACAACCCAACTGAAAAGAACACAGGCTAGTTCAAGCTGTGGGAGAGAAAAGGTTAAACTAACTTGCTAAGTGATCGTTTGAAAGCACTGAAGTTTTGTTACGGTGATAAGTCAGATTTGAGGAATATTTATAGACTCAGTTAGTCGTACACACTGTTTGCAAGGTGGTGAAGGTCTGTCCTGATTTCAAAGTTGGGATCGAATGATTGCAAACAAATCAAATCACCTTATTAAGCTTAATATAGAATTCTGTACAAACAGGAATTACGAGGAATGAGCGTGAGAAAATAAGCAAGATTTCTGAAGAAGTTTTTCTTGAGTCAATTTCCAATAAATTAACGCGTAGCATCTTGCTCGAAACGAAACACGTTGGAAATTTTGTTGACCTTCTCGGTGCGGAAATTCTTTGATTGACTTTTGTTCATAAATTACTTTCTGTTACTATTTCTATATGATGAAGAGCATTTTACGGGAAGATTTTCCTCGTAGATGTGTTGTTCTTCCTGTCAGAATAACCATGTTTGCGTGAAACCTGCATGAAACTGAAAATAAACAAGGAAATCAACCGAAAAATTGTATGTCACCGGCTGCGTAACGCACGCTGTCTTGCTGTAGCGGTGAAGCATGTGATAGGCATTGCGTTGGGATGCGTTCATACTTTGCGGCTGCGTTTTCAGCGTTTTAATTCTCAAAAAAGTATAGGTATCGATCGAGCATTTTCAGCGTCCACCCTGCGTTTTTAGCGAGGAGGAACATAATTTGATCTAGCGTTTCAACCGTTCACCAGCGTTTACAGCTGCAATCGATACCTATACTCACTTAGTCGTTGGAAACGTTTGTGGTCGCTCAAAACGCTGACGCAAAGTATGGCGCACTCTTGGAGGCACGTTTCGTGTTCATTTGATTTTGAGCAGTGGTCCGACCTGTAAGAACCGAGGGTGTACCACTTTCGTGGCTAGGAGAATGTGTGATAACGACCTTACGCGATCGCGATGGACGCAATGCTCCGCCCATTGGCCTCATACCACCTCAACGCACTTTTCTGAATGAATAAAGGTGGTGCGGTTGTTGCGCTAATTGCTCTTTCCACTCCGAATGATGAGAGGGAGGTCATAAAAAAGCTAATACGCGCATATGGAACGTATTACACTCTAGTTCGCTGCGGACGGTTGGGCGTGTCAGGCAGTATGAGTGTTCACACCAAAGCCGTTCTCTGCCTTCTTGTTGAAGCGCGCATGCGACAAAAAGTGGTAGAAAACGAGTAATACGAACGATATGATACAGTCATATCACTTGCTCGCTTTAACAACTGGTGGACGGGTTTGGCACCGCGCCAAACTCATCCCGCCTGACACGCCCAACCGTCCGCAGCGAACTACACTATAGCTACGCCCTCTCTTCGTTGTATCGGCAGGAAATCCAGAACACTGAAAAATTTTCCTTCTTCTACTCTACCATTGAGTTACCTAGCTTGTCATTAGTATTTATGCCCACCTCAAGAGGCACAGCAATATAAACAAGGTGACGTACTGTTATCAAGTTTGGCACTGTTTTTCATTCTCCTTCTTGGCCTTCTCTTGCATCATGTCTGCGTAATAGGTAACGTTTCCTGTTTTTTTTGGTAGTCGCTATCTGGGAGGGGAATATTTCGATTGATTATTTTCAACGGTGCTTACAAAGCTCAAACATCGTTCGCGAGTGTTAACATGAGCTTGTAACGTTTTCCACGTTTATTTATTTATTTGGTTCTTATTTCTGATTCCTGTTTTTTATTTCATTTAATCAAGAACCTCATAGTGTAAACAATTTCGAATTTTGTCTGAAAGTTTTAGTTATTCCATTTTAATACGTAGAAACAAGAAGAGAATGATTACAAAATGAATTTTTATCCCTGAAGGAAGGAACTCTACGAAGCATTCCAATTTCCGTTTCACACGAGCCTGTAGACTGGGCAAGTTGCTCTACTCACGATGACCTCGTTAGTAAGGAGAAGGAGGAATATTTTGTGAAAATTTCGTGGAAATCATCGTTTTGAAATAATTTGCTCATTTGTGTAACTGAATATGAAGAGTGAATGGAGCTTAATTTATTTTGTGGTGTGATGAGAGATTGTTCTCTTTATCCTAAAATCTTAAAAATTCTCCATCTATTCTTTATCTCTATTCTCTTTTCTAACCCTGTCTACCTATCTATTCATTATTTATTTATCTTATTTTTTGAATGTGTAATAACAATGTGAAACTCCAAAAGTTTATTCCAAAAAACTCAAAAGACAGCAAAAGTCTCAAAAGTTTTTTAAAATATCTTATCTTGCGATATTTCGGTGCGTAGCACCTTCGTCAGGCCCAAATATCCCGGCAAAATATTCCGGATATTTGGCCTGACGAAGGTGCTACGCACCGAAATATCGCAAGATAAGATATTTTGAAAAACTTTTGAGACTTTTGCTGTCTTTTGAGTTTTTTGGAATAAATTTTTGGACGGGACAGCACCATACTCCAAATTTTTTTTATTTTGTGGTGTGGGGACAAACACGAGAAGAAGTTGGTGTTCTCGTTATTTATCCATTTATTTACTCGGTTGTTTCGAGGTCGAAGTTATGGGGGGTATTTTATTTTGGACCGGCTTTGAAATGTAGTTCGTCCAAAGTGCGGCAGGCAAATTTTCAGCAGCTTATGTGATCGACTCTAGTGGCGTATATTATCAAGCGAGTTTTCCATGTGACTATCAGTGCGTCCATACTTCGCGTTAGCATTTTGATCGTACGGCGGCGTTTTGACGACGAGGAAGGTATAGATATCGCTCCAGCAATTGGGCTTACGCTAACGTTTCGAGCGACTAGGAAAATATAGCTATGGACGTATCGTCTTGAGCGTACGCCAGCGTTTCCAGCTACTGCCTGCGAAATGTAGAAAACTACCCGCGATATGCCTGAGTTACCTGATCCGCGTTTCTTCTGCTGTTGGCGAGAGTATGAAGAAATATTCAGTATTGGTGCTACAGCACGAGAATAATTCTGTAACATTTTGAAGAGAGCTTATTTGTTATGAGCTTTACGAAGCTCAGTTGTGCCGTCATGATCTTCTCAGATGTGTATTGAGGTTGTGAATTTCAATGCAGCATATATTGTCGAAGTTTCACTGTCATTTGCCGTAGTGCGTCGGCTTATGAACTTTTAATGAACAGTCTTCCGTTAGCTTTAATTTTCAGTTCCATCAGCAATGGGGAAACTGTTGTCAAAAATTTTTGGCAAAAAGGAAATGAGGATATTGATGTTAGGGTTGGATGCAGCTGGAAAAACAAGTGGGTGTTTGGAAAGTCATTTCACAATGGATGTCTGGTGATTTCGAGTTTATTTATATTTTAGCCATTCTGTACAAATTAAAGCTTGGGCAATCCGTAACCACTATACCTACTGTTGGTTTTAATGTCGAAACAGTAACGTATAAAAATGTAAAGTTCAACGTATGGGTAAGTGTGCTTTCCATTCGTTACTGTGAAACCATGAACTTCTCAGGGCACTGCCCTTCTCAGTTTGTCTTTTTATTGCAATTGCAACATTTCCCACAGTCAACATGTTCGCACTGAGCACTCTTCTAGGATGTTGGTGGACAGGATAAGATCAGGCCGTTATGGAGGCATTACTATACTGGCACTCAAGCTCTTATCTTCGTCTTGGACGCTGCTGATAGAGACAGGTGCTTCTTGTTTGTTCATTTTCATCCTGTTTTTGTTTTGGCTTACATTTTCTTTTTCCATTTTATTGTTATTCCATGTGAGAGCATCCCGGCCTAATTTTTTCCACATTTCGGGTCTTCGGATTTGAAATTAGATCTGTGGCATGATAGCCACTGAGTAGAGAGGGTTAGAGCAGGCTCGATGGTCTAACGAATAGCGCACTCGCCTGATCAGTGGAAATAAGTGTTCGAGTCTCGCCTGGGTGTGACTTTTGCCTATAATTCAGCATTCTTGTGGTAATTTGAAATCAAGTTGTGAAGATATGGACGAAAATAACTCCATTCACTCAAGGCTCTTCTCATGATGTGGAGGGTTATTTCTCAGCGTGTGGCCTTCTGATGGAGTAGTTTTGAAATGTAAGTAGAATCGGCTTGCAACCGTAATTGACCGTTTATGTGCGGTTTACAGGCCACATCATAGTACAATCGAAACTACTCGAAACTTCTTTCTCTTTAATCGTTCACCTGTAATCCTCGACGTGGTGGACAAAGGCGCTGTTTGTCATTTTTATGTACTCGACACTGCTGAACTAGCTGTTCGAGGTATATGGTCACCGCGTCGTCAGGGCGCTAAGGAGTATGTCATAAAGCGCTTCTCAAGAAAATAGTAATTGGACCGGGCAAATCAAAGAGGAGTTTGACAAAGAACAAGTGGGTGTAAAATATGGTTCTCAAGAGTACTGGTTCGTGGGGAACGGGTTAACGCGTACATGTGAGTCCTAGCAAGCTCATAAAAGCACTAAATACAAACTGTACCCCCATCTAGCGGACGGTCCTTCTTCATCGGGGTGAATGGGTCCGCAGTTGCACTAGCGTGTCACTTTCTCTGCTCAAACGTGAGCGACAATGGAGGTGGAGGGTAGTTATGTCCGGGTGCGTTTCCATACTCTACCAGCGCTACTGCTTAGCCAACCACTCGCCTAACCATAGCCAAACGCGCTTCTTGTCTGTGCTCTCTCACACTGGATATTCTCTGCCGCTGAGTGTTTCGCTGCATGAT